ATCTTTTTTGTGAGTAAAAAATCTTGTCATTTTCGAAGTGATGTGAAAAGCCTTGTAAGGTAATTATCACCTTGTAATTTTTGGTGCAATGAGTTTTCGAATTCCATCAATGACAAAGTGTGCCGAGATCATGAATCTCACAAATACAAAAAAATATGACCTGCCTTTCAGGTTTTTAATCAGACGTAGATATGAAAACCAAAACGTTGTTAACATGGTAAACCTTCACAGATAAATTCATTATCATTGCTGAAAAAAACATTTAGGACATTTAACACTTCAACAAGATAGAAATAACTTGAAACCTAGTCTATGAGAACACAATATTGAAATAAAGCACCAAAGTTGATAAACTTAGAATAAGTATTTTTGAAACCATACTGAGCACATATGAATAAACGTTGATTTCTGTGCACCCATTGTTAGATTTTATCCAGACTACTGAAACTAGATTACAAATGTTTTTATGAACATTTCAATATATAGCTAAAACTACCATCACAAAAAATTGGTTATTTGTAAAATCTATCTATTTCTATAAATACATACATAGTGAATTTAAAACTTTAAAATTGCATAGATAAACTCTTTTTCTTCGTTATAGCTACAATTAATTATATTTTAAAAATGATCGATTAAACAGAAAGTTTGTGACCAAACTAATTTATACCTTTGATTTCAAAAAAAATTTGTCAATTCACTAAATTTTGTTCTGTCCAACGAATCTCAAACAAAACTGACCAATATCTTACTCACTACACATTTATTGAAACTAAAAAAAACAATATAACTGCAATTCCATTTATATTTACTTAGTAAAAAAAACAATAAATTTTGTTGCTTCATCGCATGATTTGGGATTCAAGTTATGTAGTTAAGTGTTTTTATGGACTTATCTTTATTAGCGAAAAATCCACAGAAGTAAAATCATGTGTAAATTTGACTGATTATATATATAATGTCAGTATATTAAGAGGTAGATATAATATCAGAAAGGGTTTTGTGGATATTATAGTTATTTAAATGGTTGAGATCATGAGTCAGTTGAAGCTAGACCACAGTTGAAAATCTGGAGGCACTGGACAGCCGTTTCGTCCTACTGTGGGACTCCTCAGCAGTGCTCATCTACGATCTCGCCCCCCGCGAGATTTTGAACCCAGGACCTATTAGTCTCGCGCGCGAGCGTTTAACCTCTAGACCACTGAGCCGGTTGGCACCCAACAGTGTCTAACTTAAACGAATCCACGAAATTGAGCGATACATCCATCATTGTCATTGTCTAGCTTCAATTGACTCATGATCTCATCCACTGAAAGGTAGATATAAGTTTATTTGTCTCTGAAATGTGATATTATACAGTTCTTTCTGTTAATCAGGATATGTTTCACACATTTCCTTCTATTCTTGCATCATCCAAACAAATAATGTATTTAAAGTAACATGAGGTCATACATATTTAGGTAGTTTCGCATTTGTTAAAAATTAACTCAACTAAACTGACAATTTTTGTACAAGTAAGACGCATAATAATTATTTATGTTTTGTAATTTATAAAAGATGTGGTGTTCATATGAGTCATTTTATTGACTAATTAAAAAAATTGTCTTGGAATGTAGGAAATGAATTACAATTTGATTATTCGTTAAATTAGCCATATGTTACTCACAAAATGTGTTTACATGTGTTTCAATAGACATATATTTATGTGTATTTCACAATTCTATTCTTTAAAACTGGTTAATGTAAGTAAGTATTAGCATAGTAGAAATGAATATATGGAATAAAAAATGTAAAAAAATGAAATTACTCATGTTATTCCCTAACATTATTATACATAAATAATGCTTTTTAAATTCTTGCGATTTTTAAAACGATCAATTTTGTCTGCTCATAATCTGTTAGGGGAACCAATTGTAGTAATCTACAAATGTAACCGAGCTTAATCATAAAAACTTATGTACTCTATTATTTTATAATTAAGTAATCCGTTATAAGGCAGTAGTTGGAGGAAGGCAATAGAAATCTCTAAACATAGTTTTTGGGCCATCTGACACTCGTCAGAAAGGCATACCTGTAGTCTTGAAAGAACTGATGCTTCACAGAGAATTCCATCCCGTATTACTCAGCTTTACCATCAGAGTCGATACCGCTTAATTATTCTGGGCACGATTGACATCCTGTTGGACTGAGATGTATTTACAATTGACTGATCCTTGAATAGCAATCAATATCATGTATGTTAAGTTCTTCTTCCTGCTGACCGAATCGTATCGATTAAGTTACCATTTGACCAATCATCCGATATCCCAATATAGTGCACGTGATGTCCGGTAACTTAAACTAGTTGCTACATTTCAACGCAACCGATAGAATTTAGTCAGCACCAATTGAACTTGAAATATATAATGCTGGTCACCACTAGGTAGTCAATCAATTATAAACCACAAAATATATACAAACTGCAAAACTTGACTACAATGTTGATTTTGGTGTACATGTTAATTATAATGTTTGATTTTTTCTGCAAAAATGGTTGGAACTCTAAAGCTTCTATGTTATCTATGAGTTACTTTATGAAATGACAACTAAAAACCTAGCCTCTAACTCTCAAACATTCAACAAAATTATAGTTAACAAATCGTTTCGATTATGCAAATAAGATCTATTTAATCCAACGTATATGAAGAGATAAAAATTTACGTAGGAAACTATTTAGGTTGACTTCTAGGCTGATGATATCATCACTAAATAAATTGAGAGCTTAAATTGTTAGTGGATTTATTAAACGTGTTGGCTGATTGGACCGAAATGGAAGGTAAAAAATTATAATGAGAACTAATCCCAACCCCAAAACAAAAAGATCTTCATGATTAATCATAGTTTTTAGTTTCATATTAACATAGGTAAACACAGAAAGTTTTGATGTGCAGTGAACAAGTGTATAATAGACTAAGACATATTGGTCGGTAGTAGAATATTGTCATTTAATGTGATTAAAAGTACTCTACTACAGTAACAATTATTGCAAAAAATCTTTGAAATATATGGTTAGTTTGTTTTACCGGGGTTAGGTTAACAACATAGGGAGCTAATCCTTCTGCATGATAAGCGGGATAAAACAGACGTTCACTGTTTTATCAAAAATCCTAGATAAACTCAGTGATGCAGACGTTTTATCAGATACAACTTGATAGCACAAGTGTTACTAACAGTTGATTTTTTGGTTACTAAACGAACCAGAAGGTAAAGCAGCTTACAGAGAAAAGAATTGTTCACATTTGGAAAGTGAAATCTAAAGTAATATTATGATTTGAAATAATCACTTTTAACCCAGAAATTATTAGACTTCGAAAGAGTTATTGAATGGGAATATTAGATAAAACTCTTGGGAATGAATAATATTGGAAAACGAAGACCTTCCTATCTTTCCTTGTACATAATAATCCATACTTATCTTTTCACCTATCATCAACCAATTCCTTTCAGTTTTTTAGATTTGGTTTACTGGTTGACTTTATATTGCTGGAAAAAGACATTTACTTGTAAGAAACAACATACGATTTAATAAAATCATCAAGATCCCTATGTTCGATTATCAGATAACTAGAAAATTGCCTTAACGAAAAAGCAGGTGTATTATTATTGGAGCTTGCCAAATCTAAAGTGAGTTTATGAGATTATCATTATACAACTAACCGTTGTGATGGGAACTCGAGAACTGGTTTACCTTACAAATGAAGATTTACCAACACGTTTAGTGAAACTAGACGTCATTTTTGAACACTTAATTTGTGTTTATTGGTAGCAGTCATGGAAATTATAACTTAAAACCAGATAAAATTCATGCTTACAGACAATCCAACCAAAATTTCTCAAGATAAAAGTTATATATCTTGTCATTTGTGATTTTTGGTCTCATATAAAACTTTTGTATACTTAGTTCCAGTAAATTATTCTGTTGACAGATGACTTCTGATTTCATGTAAAACCATTTACAAGAATGATGGAGTTTCAGCGTTAACGTTCAAAACTTGTTTAATAAGATTATTGTACTGAAGTGATAGATTTATGAGGGATGAAAATGAAAGAAACAGACAGACATAATAAAACATAGCTCCTTACACAGGAATATCAATAAAATGTATACAGAGTTACAATATTAATGCCAAAATCAACTAGTGAAATATATAATCAATAGTGAAGCGGACAGACGTGAGTAAACAGAGACATTAAACAAACCGAACGATGTTTAAGCACGTAAGAGTTCAGAATATAATATGCAAGACTTTTCATTTTTCACTCAAGTGAAAATCCCTAAACAAGACAATAACATCTTTTTACTGTTACAGAATTGTCACAGCCCCCACTTTCAAGCGTCTTTCAATTTAGCTGTTTTTCTTAACAGCTTTAAAATCCTTTACTTCAAACGTTTTGGTAAACGTAATTAATTGTCATTGATATAAAAAATGTAATTACGTTCTGTTTTTTATCGCGGCTTTATACCAATGGATAAGGTTATTTTGCAATATCGCCTTGTAAGCGGAAGCGAGTATGCTTTTGAATGAGTCAAAATATGAACAAGGAATTTGTAATCTACTTCCTAGTATGTGTGGAATTACAGTAAATTTGAAGAAAATTCTTCAGATAAAAAACACATATTCTATACTATATCACTAGATTAAAAAAATAAGTTTATCATAGAATTTCGACTTCTATTTAGGATTTTTTAAATACTAGGTATCAGTTTACTAAGTTCACTGAAATTCTCCTTAGAATTATTCGCATTATGTTCTTACCAAAATCGCTTTATTCAATCGCTATTTACACCAGATTTCATAATCAATAAGATATCATTATTCAAGTAATTGGAAAAATGATTTCTATACTAATGAATACTTAAAGACATGCAATGAAACTATGAACGTGGTTTTTCGAAAAAAACACTAGCATTGATGAATATTTACCAAAAATCACACAAACACCACAATAAACAAACTAACCTTGAAATCAACTAATGCGTTTTTTATAATATAATTAGCTATGGATTTCAAGTTGACTGAACCGATTTTGTAATTACGTGAAAAACCATCTTGTGCACGTACCACATGTACATTATATTTACACGATAACCAATCTAAAATTGTTTTGAAATTTTTGAGGAGTATAGCAGTTAACTGTATGGATAAGTGTACATTCACAAAATCTATAGATAAGTCTAAAGCGATTGTTTTGAGCTTGTTTAACTGTTGGTCAATGTATATTTTTTTTGCTTCGTCACATAAATTCTTTCCACTGGGATCTCGATGACCAAATGGATTTGTTAGCTGCATTGTTCGTTGAGGATAAACACATAGATTTGATTTGTAATTTAAACTTTCATTACTATCATTAGAAAAAGTTATAACGTTTTTATCTGATTTCCAATGCGACAAAAATATAAGCCAAAATGAAAATGTTACAATAACAGTTATTGAATCAATAAAAAAAATGGAGGCCAAACTTTTCTTCGTTTTGCTTTGTGGCCAACTTAAGTTAACTGAAGAAGATACAGTTTTGGTCATTTCTGATTGTTTGTATCGTTTGTATCCAGTTAGACGTGAATATGATATGAAAGTTTTTCTATTGTGCATGCAAAATAATAGTTCTTTAAACCGTGTTGCGTATATATAACTCGAACACAAAGATAATAAAAATAGTTTTGTACACATTTCAATAATTTTCACTTCATAGTAAACTTCAGTTCTTCTATCCATTCGACGAGAAATCACAGGATTTGCATTTATTTTACTGCGTATATGCATAACCCTTCTTGGTGATATTGATGGGGTTGATGGCGGAGCTGAAGATGAAAGAAGTGAAAACCACCAAGATGGATGAATGTTTGGTAAGGTCAGTATTAGGAAAGGACTCAAAAATGTGATGCTCACGGTTAATATTTCTAAAAGTATCAACAACTTATGTACATAATACAAGAATTTCTGCTTAGTCACTTGTTCACAACAATCTGAATGCATTTCCTCATTGTCTGACCATTCTGAAACAAAGTGCTTTGAAAATTGTTTCCCTTGCATTAAAGATTTTTGACATTCTGTATAGTTCTTTTTTGTGTCAACAAATGAGCACATTGGAACACTGAAGATTAAAATATTTCCGAAGGATTCCCCTAAAACGTGTAGAAAACATTTTATTTGGTAAAGTTGCCGATAAACGATTACTTAATATTTAAGCGTCAACCAAAATAACAAATTAAAGCATCTTCAGCGGCTCCCCGACAAATGACTTTCCATTAATTTTCAATAGCAACATGATTTGTTAATTTAACACACCCACTGGATAAATTTAACTTTATTAGTATTAATAATGGCTTTGTTCAATATCACATTTTGGTACTATATAGAATTCTCAGCACAAGGTATTTCAACAAGTTTCTTTAACAAAAAAAACAACAACAAAAAGAAAGGAAAAAGGTGTAAAAAAATCTGTAAAACCTCACAACTTTCTAAATTAGAGACATGTTAAGAATGCAGGTCATTGACTAGGTTAACTCTAACAACTTATTTGTCACGCAGTATATTTGCTAGGTAAGGTATTATTGAACCTTTATACTTTTCCTTGCGTTCATGGATTTTAATGTATTGACGTTTCGTTCCATCAAAAGATATACAAGGACAATTCTTTGGGTAAAGGGAATGGTTAGTATCTGATAAGATAACAAGTGCCAGGAGTTTGCAAGACTTTAAGTGTCTATCTGCAGCCATATTAATAATGAACTCGAAAGATTTACTACACACCTTGCTAACTGCCTTCAGCACTATCCGCGATACAGCAAAGTCCTTTCTCAAAAGCCCGGGAAAGAATAATAGAGGACAGTAAAGAATAATAGGTAATATGCAGGAATCGACAAAAATGTAAGAGTAAATGGCGAGTGATCCCAAGAGCTTTCAATCTCTTTATGTAGTAAGTCAGACGAAAAATTTTCTTCGATAACAGTAAAACGTGAGAAGACCAAGAGAGATCATAGGAAAAGGTAACACCAAGATAATTGACCTTCGACACTATGTTTATCAAAGTCGCCAATGGCACAAGCTTTACGGGATCCCAAACTGGTGGTTAGATGCTGTTCATGTCTCATGCTAAAGTTAACAGCTTGACATTTAGACGGGTTAAGTATGAGACCATTAATAACAGAATAACAATCAGTACGAGACAAAAACTCATTCATTTCTATGGGATGTAAGGAGGTAGAGATAGACATACACACGTGTTTTAAGTGGAAGATGGCAGATCATGTAGAAAAAAAGAGAAGAGGTGAAAGAACAGCTCCATGTGGTACATCTTCATGAGACAGTAGAGACTATGAACGTTTTCCTCCAAACAGTGTACTGTTCTGTTCAAGAGAGGTAGGAACATAGCAAGTTGGTTATCCAGCTGTCAGTGTTGACTCTGACTAACTCGTTAAGTAAACGTCATCTTGGTGTAGAATCGAAAGCATAAGTATAGTCCAGAAAAGCGCATGAAACTTCTTATTATTTTCCAAGTTGAACAATATATTGTAATACAGAACAGCAAAGGCACCTAAGGTGCTTCTTTTGTATCTGTAAGCAAACTTATACGTATCAATGTTCTCTTTTATTGCAGGTTGAATTAGAAGTGTAAATACTTTTTTCATTGTTTTGAGGAAGCGTAAAGTTGCTGCTATACGTCTAAATTTCACATTCTTATCACTAGATACTTGCTTAGGTATAAGGATTATCTTCAAATGATTACTGGAAATCTTAAGGATTTATTTATTAAAACAAGAAACATGGTTGAAGAATAGTATAAGCTAACTACTTTATTTGATGAGTTAACAAAAGCTCTGTGATCAAGTTTACAACAGTATGATTCACTAAGCTTTTCTAACTCATATCCTTGTGTATTTGAACGCCTAGGCATAACATCTTTCAGTTCCAATTGTATTGTACAAGAACAGGAATACTCTGGATAACTTTACAGATCGAAATTATGAGACATTTTGAAAGTGTATGTCAACTTGTCAAAAGTCATACACATTTGAAATTGTATCTGAATTTTTTCATGACGAAAGAAGAAACGCACTAGAAACAGTAGTGAAAATCTTTTAGTAAACCAAGTAAATAAAACGTTATCCAGAAGTTTATTGTTCGAAGGTTCAGTCAATCTACCATTATTGCTCTTAATTTTATGTTATCGGAATTCACTTATTTCCAAACCGATAACTTGAAGTTGTAGAACAGCACCATTATTATTGATTTCAATGTATGACTGCATATCATATTAAACTCCTAATCAATTAAAAATAGCGAACCATGAGTCAGAGTATTCGCTACGAATCTTAATCACATAATGCATTTCACGAAACATTGTCTTTATTTTATAAATTTTTCTTCAAATTCTAGGCTCTGAACCCAAAAATATCTCCATGCTAATTTGACTAACACAGTGATGCAAAACTACGATGGTGACTGATTTCTTATTAACTAACTTAAGAATATGCTACGTAAAGGTCGAACTAAAATATTTATTCTGTCTTTTCTAGTGTTCATGACAATTATTAAAGACATTTAAGACATATTATTCATATTATATACTTTTAATTTCATCTTCTAGTCTAAATAACTTATGTAGTTATCTATATGAATTAATGTCACCAAACAATAAAACATAATTTGTATTCTTATAGCAAATATTCCTATTTTGGAGAAGTCTTCCGGTGAAATATTTGCTCAGATCCGTGGAAGCCTTGTAGTTTCTGCACGATTTCCCTGAAGTTTCTCAAAGCGAACGAAATTTTCTTTTAAACAGCGAAATTTGATTCTTACACACGTCTTCGTCAGCATAACGTATCATCTCAATGTGCTAGCAAATTGTACCAAAGCTGCACACTACAACTGTCTCATTTAGTTTTTGATGCGAAAACTATGAAGATTATTCCTGTTCAACATGAAAAACTGACTACTTTGACTAATTTGATGTTATTCATAACTACGAAAGCTCCCAAGTTTATGGAAATTTTGGAGTATTTTAGAGAAACTCTCGAAGTAAATTGTCCTTCACCAATGTTTTGGGAAATCCTCAAATTCAAGTGACCATCACCAAAGTTAAAAGGTGATTTCGGAGAAATATTGCGGTTTTTATGCCATTTCCTCGAAAATTCCCCAAAGTTTACTATAGTGGCTTCCCCAAAATGGGTTAAAAATTTCCCCGAATTTTGGAGCTCAGGTGAACTTGTTCAAAACAATAAAAGTGAAAAACATTCCAAATAAGCATTAAGAACATTGCAAAAACACATGGAGATTGATTTAAAGAAATATATAAACATAGCTCACTCTACAATGTTAACAGCAAACTATTTTAATTTAGTGCTTTTTCAAGTAAAAGTGGTGCATTTAAAAAGTGCTTCAATACCCAATAGCTTTTATTGTTTAATATATTTTTCATAAGCCTGTGTAAACCGACAGACTCTTTGGAGCTCGCTTCATATTATTTTAGCACGTCTCTATATATTTCGTTATGCTTAATGAGTGGTAATCTAGTTATTCGATAGCACTAGCTGTAGTCAGTGTCGATTTGATTTTTTTGAGTTCAGATGAATTCGTTGGTATTAGGCCACTAGGGTTTCTAAATAACAATATCCATCACATTATCGGGCATGGGATTGGTGGGTTGAATGTGAAAATAATAAAGTGATAATTCAAGTACCAAGAGAAGACTATTGATTAATGAATAATTACATGATTTAATTAGTTAATAATAAGTAAGAAGTTGGAGTATAGAGAATAAGAGTGAAACGGATGTGATGGTGACAGAGATGAGAAGAGCTTTCTTACATGTGTTGATGATAACCACTATAATTTCTGAGACATACATCAGACATTGTCGTTCCAAGAGGGAGATAATCATCCATGAGTGAGTACGTGTTAGTCATGTCTGCTCTTTAGGTTATGCAGCTAGATGACTATGGTCTATACGGCTGGAAGGATATTCCTAAATGGGACAACTCTTAATCATAAAACAGAAAAGGTGTCAGGGTTTTTGCTCTTAGATGTTCAGCATTTCTAGTTTCTCCTGGTTTACTCTTTAGTTGATGGTCAGTCTGTTGGCCAGTTTCGTGAGGACTGGCCGTTGTACGGTTTTCGTCTGTATCGACTGTTCCATAAGTGGTTGTCCCGTACCGTGGGCTATTGGTTAAAGTAAGCCAAAACCAATGTTTGCTTTATTTGTCTTTTCTGTTGTTGCCTTACCCATGTGCGTTGGCTTTCATAACATCTTATTTTACTGGAGCGGTCAGTTTTCAATCTGCAACAGGTATGAAGTTCCTCAATTATTTCCTTACAGTTTTGCAGCACACAGACATTAGAGGCAAGCTCCTAAAGGCTTTGAGTTTTAACGGACAAGGTAGCTGGGACACGATGATAATCCTGGTGGTGTGAATGCCCTTACTGCGTGATAGTTAACGCCACCTTTGAAATCTGGTTCGTTAGCTTTGTTACAATATCAGTATTCACAAACATCCTGTTGGTACGTAAATGTTGTTGGGATTCTATTTCGTGTTTCTTTAAAATTGCAGTCTTGCACATCCATTCAACCATCTAATGGGATGGGGTCGCTAACCCCATGCCCAACCCTCCTCCTTTATCCGGGCTTGGGACCGGCAGTAGCCCCCGGAAAGGGGCTCCAGGCGGAGTTCAACTATCTAATAGAAACGTTATTTTGTGAATCATCATACTGCTTGGTCGTTGGGCGCTTGCTGATCTTCTAGTGCCATCTTCTACTGCCTATAAAATGTTGTACCTGACTCTGGTGTGAAAAAATTACTAAGGATCACACTGGAGTGCCAGTACAATTTCTTCATTAAGTGTGGTGAATCTAAAGTTGATCTTTTACTATGCAAAAAAGCATAGATTGATTGAAATAAAGCTATTTCACAGCATTGTGTAGCATTTTCTCTACTGTTTTTCCCATTAAAAACTGCCTTATTCTCTAGCAAGCAACTCTGAGACGCTGGGACATTGAATAATATCAAGTGTTTGACTGATTGGATATCCTGATGAGGACAGATACCGTAGTCTCCCATAAATTCTCGTGTTTTTCGTTTGTGAGTTCAGTAAGAGTGCTTTCTCTACACTGCCTAAACATACCAGAAACATGAACAGGGTGACGTAACATAAGTCCGTAGTAGTGTCCATGTATTTCATTACCACAGCGACGGTGAATCAAGCCACTACAGACGCTACATTCAAATACTGAGCCCCTGGAGTAACCGAGCGACGAGCATGCGATACATTTATTACCTTCGTGCTCTTCCTCCCCAGTCCTAGTCTGTACCATGATTAGTTGAGGATGCCGTTTGCCCTATTTCTTTTTTGCTTAAACTCTATATTAGTATTAGAACCTAGCTGTGAGTTTATCGTTTTTATTTATTTAGAAATTCAGTTATGGTGTTTGACATGAACGATCCATATTGTACATGATACTCTATGAATCTTTATCTGTTATCGTCAAAACCTTTCTTATCATATTCTCGCTGGAAACGGCGATGATCGACTTATTCTTAATACCTGAATTAATACACAAATCTCATTTAGTCATCTTTGTTGTTTTAGTGCAAGTACTAGTGGCAACGCTATAACTGTTCGTGATCCTCAATAGACTATACTGTTATTTGGTTTGGAGGGTAAGTACAAGGGGCGAAATTTTCTAATAAGTTAAAGACATAAGCGAACATATGATACAAGAGAATAGAATATTAAAGACACTGAGAAATGCGACGTTAATTTTGACCTTCCTTTAAAACAACTTCATGTGGATTTATTAACTGATTTATCATCGCGCACTTAGTTAATGCAACAGCTACATTTATTTAGCATGATGATCTGTGGCAAAGTGCTTTACTTATGTCACGGATATTTTAATAAACATTTTATTAATAATCTAGTGCATCACAATTTTTCAAAAACTAACGACTCTTACCTCACGAGACATTTCATATTTCACCGAAGTGAACTTCACGCTTCAGAATTCGGTAGTTAGTAGTGATTCAAGTAGATTGCAATATGGTTCGAGGAAGAACAACTGTGAACGCAATAATGATCTAGTCAATTATAATTAAGAGCGGCGTTCGAAAATGCGGTTTTGAATAGAGGAATTAAAAGGTGTTGAGGCATCTCCATGTATTTAAGCTGTCTGTACCTCGTTACACTTAGCTGGTAACTAACGTTACGGACAACTTTGGTGAGTCTGCTAGGCATACTGAGGATTCCCAACATTTTCAAAGGATATTGCAAAGAAAGTGGTCCAGTAACTCTATCAACAAGTAGTATAAAATTCATTCAATGAATGTTTCCGTCTGTTTATTATGAGTTTTTTTAGCTAAAGTACGAGACATAAATTTTAATGAAAACATGATGGATGAACTTTGAAGATTGTACGGATACTTCTTGTGAAAAAAGCGAGAGATATGAAATAAGTTGATGGTGTTTTGTATTATCAGAATAGATTGAAAACGTGTGACTTCATGAAATTTTTACTATCAGTATGTAGTTTTACGTTGCGAACCGAATTCAGATACTTAACCACTGGCAAGCAGGAGGGACTGAACAGCTACTTCACCTTAACAATTAACTTGGCAGCTGTGCACAAGCGACTCACTTATAATTAAATTTAGGACCTACGGATGGTACGGCAAGCGCTTAATCTTCTGACGTCTGTTATTCCATAGATTACATTTTTAACATACGTAAATTCACAATATTGTGGGTCCTTATATTAGGACGGAACAGATGTCCATTGCTTCTTGATTCCCAATTTGTGATCCGTCTGTGATGCAAAGTATAGAATTATTAAGTTCGTTGACTATTTTTCTCTCCAATACAGTTCCTAAACTCACACAAGTATGCAAGACTTTTTATGATTGATGGTAATATAGATTCTTAGAAGTTAACTTGAAGTATCAAGTGATTAAATATACTGTACAGAGATAGTATCGGAATATTTGTTTAGGACTTTTCCACTCTCTTATTTTCTGTTAACATGTTGTTCAGCAAGCGTATTTGGATTATTTAGTTTGGTGATAGTTATATGAAGTAATATTAAATAAAGCTTAAAAACAGGTTAGTTATAATGTAACGACCAAACTGCCAGTATTCGGTTCGAACAAAGGACTGACGAACCAAAATTTATTCGAATAAGCCAGACTACCTTCATCTGCATAGCGTACGCAGCGTTTTTGAAGTACTCTTATTAAACTATGTCAAAACACAAACTACGTGCTCAATTTAAACAAATTATATCAAAAACACAAAACACCTCAAACGGTATAACCTGTGATATACAGTCAAAGGATTCTCTAACGCAAAGTAGCGCGCTAAACAATAAAAGAAACAGTTAATACCAAAGGGTTCGACACCTGAGAATCAATAAAAATAGTCCCAAGAAGATGGGATCAGATATCTATCTTCAGAGATTTCAGCAATACTCTCAAGCAGACGGTCAAAGGGTTAACAGTCAATCACTGAACCATGTGTGACCTTGAGGTTCGTCAAACACGACCAATAGTCCGGCAACATGCAATAAAAAATTAGGTAACAAAAGATGAGTCTTTGACCAAAATCACATAATAAAAGCTCAGACTAGGAAGACTGAAGAACAAAAGATGTAGTTAAACGAGATCTGGACAAAGGTTAAAATACACGACAGGGAGAAGAAACAAATAAATGACAGTACTGTCCAACAAAAGAGCTGTGGAGGGATTCACGTCGTTCTCTTTCCGTTACAGATATATCTATCCAAAACGTACTCTTTCAGTTACAAATGAACCAAAACCGAATTCAAAGAGAAAAACGGCTTTCATACCTGAAGGTATTATATTATCTTTTTAGTTAGGAACTCGGTCGAGTTCATATAAACATTGCATGTTAACAAATATGCAAATACGTGTACAAAGAAGCCATAACATGAAAACTACTTTTTCAAATCATGAATAAAGATAAAAAAACATGCACTCACATGTGTATATAAATGCTCAAGCTTAAAAAAGGATACTTGATAAAAACAAGCACGTGAGTGTACGGGACAACTTTAAAAGACGACAAACATTTGTCTGTTCGACAGTTACAATCAACCTACGTACATATTAGATTCTTGATAACCTCGTGGTTAAGTAGAAACCCTTAAACCTTATTTAGTTGATAGGTACTGTGAATATCCTCGTTATTGCAAGTTGTGTAACTTTGAATTAGACTATGAGGAGATCAACCTTGACAAAGAGTTTTTATCTTCAAGCGAATAGTCATATCTTGATAGATAATAAATTAACATTTTGTCACGTCCATTGACTGACAGTAACATACATTTTAGTTTTGTGTACATTAAATA